CATTTTTGGATTTTTTAAATTTTATAATTAAATATAAAAATAGATTTTCAGATAATCCTAAAAGTATTTACATCAACATTACATGTTATAATAAAATTTGGAGGTGCACCTTAATTGGATTGTTTAAAGTTGCAACTTTATAGAAACCACACCCATAACATCATAGACAGAGCAACAAAATAAATAGAGATAGAGAAAGAATACAAACATTCAAATATGAATGAATATCTAAAAAAAACTCAAGGGCTTTTCCATTGATGTAGATGAATATTAGGGAAGATTTATGATTTAATTAAAAAAAAAAATCAGCTTCTTGAACGAAAAGCAAGAAATCATGGATTACAAATGTCAAAAATTGAGAAAAAACAAACACTAAATATTTGCAGTGGAGTCTGGAATGAGTAGAGTACTCGAACAAAGCAACCCTTACGAGTCCACCAAACCAAGGAACATGGACACTGAGACCTCAGAAACAATTGTTCTCGAATTGGTGCACTCAATGAACATGGACACTGAGACAAATGTTCTCAAATTGGTCCACTCAATGGTTCGAAATATCACAATGTGACAAAAAAATTAATTCAAGAGGATCCCATGATTTCAATTAGGAATTCGTTGGGTCCGTTAGGGATTGTACCCAACAGTTTAAAATTTTCCTCATCTTATCATTCAATAATTGATAATGAGATCTTGTTAAATAGTTACTACTAGCGACTACACCTAATATTTTGAATTTTTTTCCATCTTATCATTCAATAATTCATACTGATAATTTAAAAAAGACTTTCCTAATACCTAAATCTTATTTAATAGATGAAAATAGAAAGATTTTACATTCACACATAAAAAGGAAAACCTCACAAATTCAATTGCATATCAAAATCAATCAGAGCACACTCTAGCACGTCGTATGCCTTAGGGAAGGCATACGGCTGGGCCCATCGCACATTAACAAAACGAAAAATAGAAGGTTAATAAAAATAAAAAATGGGAACTAGACGATTCAACCCGTCCAAATCGCTCAAATCTCTGATGAAAAATGTTGGATGCATAATAACTGGGCTAATCTTGGTTCTCATTGGAAACCGGCCCAATCATCACTATTTCCATACCTAGATCGAGAGATTTCGATCTCAACCAGTGGTCTATCAAACATTAACCAAACCTATCTCCTTGTTACACAAATAATCGTTAATCATGTGTTGTTGCTGCAGCTTTTACCCTCGAACTTCGGTTTACTGATCCTCGAACTTCGGCTTATTAAATTTCTGTCATTAGAAATATAAAATATATATTTGTGCAAGCTTTATATTTTTTTCCTAACGCATTAAACATATATACTTCCCCATATGCAACCATCCAATCTGAATGGATGGCTAAGATGACCTAAATCACAATGTCATGTCTCTACACGATTTTATTTTTCATTTTTCTACAAAATATTTTGACACCAAATTTTAGACGTCCATTCCTCTCTTAAACTAAAAAATATAAAATATTATTCTCAATAAAATAAAATGACCAAAATACCTCTAAAAGTTTTAAGGGGTGTGTTTTGATCATTATATTTTATCGAAAAATTCTTTTTAATATTTGTTTTAGGTGCCCCCATTGAGATGATGCGACATACCAATTGTCATATTCATAATCTGAGGCTTTGGATGTAGATCAAATGGTCAGTAGCTCACTTGATCTAAATTGAACGGCTGGATGGGAGAGAAGTATATATCTTTTATACAGTAGTAGCTCACTTTATCTAAATTGATTCATTCTGAAGAGCAAATTGACATTTCATCGGGGAGTCTTATTTCTTCAATTTAAACCAAATTTCAGGAAATGTCAAATCCACCCAAACAGGAGCAAGTGAGATTTCCTTGAAATCAAAAATTAAATGTACAGACGTTAATTTTATGGAAGCGGTTTGTATAGAGTTGAGGCTCTAAACAATCAAAATAAAGTGCATCTTCAAATAATGTTGTGAAATGCGGTTTCAATACTAGAAATATCTATACAAAATTTAAAGCTAAAAGAAGGTAGTGTAAATCGATCACATCTATGAAAACTTGAAAATCTTGAAAATTGACAGTCCAAAAATGTGTTACAAATGCACTATTTCTAAAACTTAAAACCTATTTTTTTCTCATGTCCAAGCGTTTGGATGTCAAGATGATCAATTTGAGGATATTTGAGCATCAAAACAATCTCCTCTCGTCAAAATTTTTAGATGGACTCTAATTTGATTTTTTAGAGCCTCGGCTCTATATAAACTTTTTTCTAATGTTATTATTATTATTATTAATATTTTATATTATATTATCATATCATAATTATAATTAGCCGATCACAATTAAATGGGATAGGACTTTGATGAAGATGATGATGATGATGATGATAAGTATTATAATTATGATTTTATATTAAACAATTGTATTATAAAAAGATAATTATAATATAGTAATAGTATTACAATATATAATAATATTATTGCTATTATATTATCTTAATATTTATATTATGATATTATATTATACAATTATATTAATGATTAACATTGTATTGTTATAATATGATTATAATAATAAAATTATATTTTATTATTATTTAATTAATATAATTAAGATGTTAATGTTTGAATGTACATGTTTTCGATGGAATGTTGGAATAAAGGTATGTCACCTTCGCCACAATGGATATTATACTTGAACTTGACAAAAAAAAAAAAACTTCAAACACTAAAAAGAAGGACCTAAATGATTTTTAATTACAACAATCGCAACATTGAGAATGGTTGTTTTTTTTTAAATAATGATAAATAAAAGCCCTGAAGATTCATCTGCCACGCAATCCAAACAATAAAGATGCATCTTCCAGGTCTCTGCGAGATGCTATCCAAACATCATATACCAATCTTCTAAGAAATGTCAATACGAGGAGATACCGATTCCAGGATACACTTTTCCCCAAGAGTCCTATTTCCAGGACCAAACGGGTCGTAAGGGAAAATTAGCATTACTATATAATTGGAAAAGAAAACAAAATTTTTTACCAATCACACATTTCATCATGAAGTGCTTGGTGGAGTAGCCACTAGTAGCAAAGGGGTTTTCTTTTTCACAGTGAGCCCTGAATCCTCTGTCATGTCTAGGTCCTCATGATTCATTCCATCAGGCATTGCCCAATCAAAACAAAGCAAGAGATTGGCCAATGCGAGCTCGATGACACTTACAGCAAAGGAAATTCCAGGGCATCCCCTTCGGCCTGCACCAAATGGTATCAGCGCAAAATCATGGCCCTTGTAATCAATATTACTACCCGTAAACCTATCGGGTCTAAACTCGTCTGGGTCTACCCATGAGTCCGGGTGCCTCCCAATTGCCCAAGCATTCACCAAAACTCTGGTCTTTGAAGGGACAAAGTAGCCTTCTATGTCGCAATCCTCGATCGATTCACGAGGAATCAACAATGGAGCTGGAGGGTGCAATCGCAAGATCTCCTTCACCACTACTTTCAGGTAATGGAGCTGTTGCAATTCTGTCTCTTTTATCATGCTTTTGTTATTGCTTTTAGCTATCCCTCGTACTTCGTCTTGGGCTTTTTTCATTGCTGATTGGTTCTTTATCAACTCAGACATTCCCCACTCTAGTACGTCCGCAGTGGTACTTGTCCCAGCTGCAAACATGTCCTGCAAACATTTGCAATTCAGTGTGCTGCTTATCGTGCGCAATTATTAGCCGTTTTTCACTAATACGGTATTTACTAATAAACAATGACGACGAATATGGCAGCCATTAAAGGTGCTTGCTTGCTGATGAATTGGATGACTCAAAATAGAAAACGTGTGGTAACATAACATGCTTTTCTAGTCACTGTTAGAAGTATAAAACGGGATAATACAGAGCTGTGGAGAGTGGAAATTAAAAACCCGACTTTGGCTGAAATCGATGCAAGTCAATTATAAATGGAAAATATTGTTATTTCTTCTTAGTTGAGAAGTCGAGTTGAAACTTGCAGATGAACAACCAAATATATTTATATGGGTGAATAATTTAAAAATATTCATTATCCCTTCTTTCTTATTTGTACCAAATTTCAATTTTAAAACCACTTGCAGAAAATTGAATAAAAAATCAAATTCCAAGAAGCAGTGCTGCAATTTTATTGCTTCATTTTTATCAGCAACACTTTGAAAAACTTTACTAGGAGATAAATGAAGCATAATTGGAGTAGAGAAAAGTTCAAATAGCAGAGAGGGAAAGGGACGAATCGTGAAATGCAGTAAACAGTGAAGTATGTTCAATTTGTTACCTACCAGAACAACAGATTTGATGTTATCTCTAGAGAGGGTGAAATCAGGGGTGCCCTCTTTTTGGAGCTCTAGCAGTACATCCACTAAGTCCTTCTTCTCCTTCTTATGAGTAGGAAGAAGGTGCTCATCGATTACTCTCTCAAGGAAAGAATCCCATTGCCTCAAGTTTTTCTCCAACCTCCTTTGAAACCCTGTCAAATATTTCACCCACTCCAATGATGGAAAGAAGTCCCCCACAAAGAAGCCACTAATCAATGGCTGGGAAGAATCCAATATCTCCTTCAACTCGGGCTCGTCCTCCCAATAACTCTTCCCAAGTGCCACTCTGCAGACCACATTGCTAGCGAGAGAATGAAACGCATCTCTCAAATTGACAGGAGCTTTAGCTTCGGAGGATACAAAGATCGAGTCGACGAGGGAACCCACTTCCTCTTTTCGCACAAACCCGAACGACTGGACCCTCTTTGAGCTGAGGAGCTCCAGGATGCAAATCTTCCTTATGTGGCGCCAATATGGTCCATATGGTGCAAAGGCCACATCTGTGCTGTTGTAGGTGAGGTGGTTGGTGGCCGCACGGATAGGCCTGCTACACAAGGCATGGTCAAGGGTCCTCATGGCCAGCTCGGCCATCTTAGGAGAGGAGACTACCAAAGTGCGGACTCGGCCCAATTTAAGGTGCATGAGGGGTCCATAGATCTTGGCAAGGTGGGCTAGGGAGCGGTGCGGCAAGGAACTTAGTTGGTGGAGGTTACCGATGATGGGGAGACCTGAAGGACCAGGTGGTCGCGTCGTTTTGCTGCCTGACTTGTTGGAATGGTGGAGATAGAGGAGTAAGAGGAGTAGAAAGGAGAGGAGACCGGTAATCAAAGTAGTGAACATAGGTTGATGGCCATGAGTGGGATGGAAAGAGGAGAGATTTAGCTTAGTCGATTGTGGTTTCGCAGCAGGGTTCATTGAAGCCTGATTAGTGGGATGTCTGGTAGAAGAGTGGAGGAAGTGGGGCTTAGACTTCCATTGCAATTCCCAGTGACAGCATAAGCACCCGTCTTATTTCTCACTTGTAGAATGTGGTGGTTTCATGGTTGCTTATTGTGAGAGGAAGGGACTCGTTCCCAGCCATTGAAGATGAGGGAGCCACATAAACCCTAATAATTCAAAGTGTGCGGCTACCGACTCTTGTCCCATTCTGGAAAGCCAATTAGGACAAGGACGATTACAAAAGTGTGAGGCTAAAACTAGTTTCCACATTGGCGGCTCAATCAAGGAAAATAATCATACCGGCAATGAAAAAAATGCGGCATTATCCCTTCGTCTTACAATTTTCCTGATTCCAGTCTTTTTATTTCAATTTTTTACTCCAGTTTCCATTGCAAACATTTAACTAGTTTTATTTAATTTTTTTAAGGGACTTTATGTACGGACAATGCTAAACATTAGTGTTTTTTTTGAGTGAGTTTTGAAATATTACTATTATAGAGATTTTATGGGTAGTTTTGGAGTATGAATAATATGTGAGAGTAATTTAAGTATAATATTGTGAATTGTTAATTATCTATGCAAAGTAGTGCGAGTGTTCTAGTGAATTCGTCACAATATTTTTTAGTTTAAGTAAAGACATGAAACTCACTAGAATATGTTAGATTTGGTCTAAAAATTACACCATGATAGAGATTACAACTTAATGATAGAAACACACAAAGAGAGAATGTAAAAAAAGAAAATCAAAGCTCACCCTAATATTACAGCAAAATGCAAAAGTGAAATTAGATAAAACATGAGCTCCCAATTGGAATGACCAACCCCTTCTATGCCACTCGTCCTTCAAATTTTTATTATATATTAAAAGCTAACCCATTTCCCGTGGTACAATCCACTAAGTTCTTAAGCATACTCCAATTCTCGATCTTAGAAACTCCTATCATTGACTCTTTCTTATCCTTTTCAAGACTTTAGAAACCCACTATTACACCATTTTAAGTTTATGGAAACGAGTTGTCTATATTAGATTTGTGGGTCCCATTTTGGGCCCTACATTATTATCCCTGGGGCCAAATTTGCCCTTAAATTTTATATATTGCACCGAAAGGGTTTTTACGTAGACTTAGGTTCGTGAGGAGCTCCAGAAGCTTTCAATTCCCATTGCAATTTGCCTCAATCCTCTATGAGGGATCGAAAGCTCTTGAATTGGGCCTTAAAGTATACGTAAAATAATCTAATAGTAAAACATATATAAAATTGAAAATATCAACACCTCATAGTAAAACATATATAAAATTGAAAATATCAACACCTAATAGTAAAACATATATAAAATTGAAAATATCAACACCTCAGGGCATATAAGGCCCGTAAATCTGACCGTGACGGGGGATTGTCCATCTTCTGCGCCTCTTCAAGCTGGGGCTTCAAGTGAGAGTAGGAGCTAGCAGCTACTCATTCGCTTTTTAAAAAGAAAAAAAGTTTATATAAGGATGTAACCTTATAATGTAGAACTACAGATGCCCCTCAATAGTTCATCGGAAAAGATAGTTTTAATATTGAAAAACCCTTTGATTGATCATCTCGACATCTAGATGTATGAATATGAAAAATAAAAAGATTTTAAGTCTCATAAATAGT